TATATGAAAGGGTATAAAAAGATATTTATTCTGATTCTGCGCACTCAGTTTCAAATAATTTGAATATTGCGTTTGATCAGTCAGTTGTATTGCTGGTTACATATCCTTTGACCCAAAAATGGGCCTCATCGCTGAAAAAATCGGAAAAAGTCAAAGCGATGCCCCTTGGAAAGTTTGAGCGGCTTCAATTATTCCACAAGCTGTATTTTATACCCTTTCAAGTTAAGATCTCGACGTAAAATGAGCCAAGTTTCATACGTCAGTTCGAATTGCTTTAAACCGCTCCCGAATCTATTCTCCGCGATTACATCACTACTTGCTGGACGTCGTCTATTTGGCCTATAGTGAATACTGGGTCTCAAGATTGGTGATGGTGTTGCGAAAAGTACGCTCAGTGGGCCGATTATGTTGACCATAAGTGGAGCGAAGCGCACGAAACACATTCTCTACAGAACGTGACTGAACGTGTTGAACGATTTGTAAGCTTTGTGCAGGCGACATTCTTTCCATGATTAAATGCCAAACAACACGAAAAAAAAAATAATAAAGCAGCTTGACACGAGGCATGCATGAACTGTCAGAAAAAAGCTATTGGAAAAAGTAGTGTAGCGGGATCAGTATAACGCTCTTCTTAGAAAATGCTGAGAAGATATTTTTTGCGAAAATCGTCTTGTCCTATATTCTTGTAATGAACATTCTTAAATATAATATAACTAAGACTAGGGGTTCGCTTTTAAGATATTTATTTGCAAACAAATCAACTAAATGACATTATTATAATTAGAAACAAATATGTATGTAATTATATACAACTTATGAAGATGAAAACCAACAACTGACAACTGGCGGGTACTGGAACCGTTGCTCCACTTACGGGCTGCCACTTTGTTTGATGAGTGGAGTTAACGTAGCATAACAGCTCCGAATTACCACCAACCGGCCGAAGGAGCTGCATGCAAAGAGGGCAATGCAATGGTCTTATAAATGGGGGCAGCATGCAGCACCGGTGCTGCGTAAGTGGTCTTCACAATGGGCGCTAGGATTGGCTGCACAGCAACGGCTGAACTATGCACAACCGACGAGCTCTGATGGGAGACAGCGGTGGGGTAGCTCTTCACGATTGCGCCTACTTTGGCCAATACGGGCTCGTGGATGACTGTGGCCGGTGCCGAGTAGAGTAGCGGCGCGTGTGAGAGGTAGCCAGGGCGCGCAACGGCGACGGCAAGCAAAGTAGACAACAGCACAACCTGTGGAAGGAAAGAAGATTTGAGTATAAGATATGGTACGATAAGGAGGGATAATACAATTTGGAAAGGCAGGCACGACTTGGCTTACCAGTTTCAGCATTTTGTTAATCCTTTTTCGGGTGTTGAACGCTTGCAAATTGTAGTTCTGTATTGCGGTGAATTGCCGTTGTGACTGTTGCTTGTTGCTGACCAACGCCTGCTCTTTTATACAACCGAAGTAATCCAACGAATTTCCACCGAAAACACAGACATTTGTAACAAAATAAAGCATCCACATGCAAAAAAAGGCAAAAGAGGAAAATCTACATCAAAAACATGCACTTAAAGAATACATAAAAAAATATAAACAAAATATATTACAATAATAAAAGCAGCCGACGCGAAAAACGCCAGCTTGATCGCATTTTTGGCTGCCGGCACAGTGTTGTTGCGAATTATGACCGAATGGTGTAAAGTAGTGCGGCCGGTCGGTGGATTGTTGGGTCGGTGGGCCGGTCATTGTTTGCGTTTTTCCGCTGCCACGGTGCTTAGCCGGCGCAAATGTGAGCCATATGAAAACTAAATTATAGCAATAACAAAAAACATAAAAAAAAAATACAACTGAAATAGGAGCACTTTTATTTTCATTTTCTCACTCGTACGCTGCAAGTCACACTAACATAGCCGCTATAAACCGTTATACGCCTTGGCACCATGTCGCTGCAGGTGTGTTGCATGGCGTGTCATTGTGGGCCGCCGCGCTTGTGTGTTTTGTCTGCCACGATAAGCCGTCGACACACTGCCGCAACAACACAACACAACAACCACCGAACAAATTGTACTCAGAAATAAAAATACATACAACATGCCATATCGTTTTTTCCCACCACAATAATAACAACAACTAAGCGACCATTAGAGTTTGTAGCTGCGATTGCATCACGCACACGCTCGCCGTAAGCGCTTTAATGGCTTTTGCTAGTGGCATGTTTGGCTTCTTTATTTGGCCATAAACCGAGCTTTAACAGCTGTGTCTGCCTCACCGAAAGTCTCAGTCACACATTCGTACATGAGGCATGACCGTGAAACACGAACGCATTTGTTGCTTGTGTGGTTTATTTGGCCACTTGTCGCTGATGCAACTAATGCCTACAAGACAACAACCACCTCATTGGTAATTGTTGTTAATGTCGCTATTTTTATCATTACTTTGTACTGCTTTTCTTGTGGTCCAAATCGAACTTACGCTTGTTTACGTGGTAGTGTCTCAAGTTCATGTTCACGCACTGTGCGTGTACGCAACAACACAACTTGCCCCAGTCTTCAAGGTGGCAGCAAGAACCGGCTTTGAGCTTGTGTGCAGAATGTGTGCGCATAATCGTAAGTCTTTTTTGTGGTTGCCAAATGCATTTTTTAAATATTATCAAATAAGTGGTTTGGTTTTCAATAAATCACTGCTTCCGTTGCACCGTTATTATCACATAAAATCATGTGATATGTTAAGACCGTAGATGTGCGATGTGATGTCACTTTCTATGAGCCGATGTTATTATCTCATCTGTTTGTTTATTTATTTTTGTTGTCATTTAATCAGTTTGATTATAATTTCTAAGCTTAGCTTAGCTTAGGTTAGGTTAGATAGCTGATCGCACGTGGACTGCTATATATGGTCCTTTGTGAAGACTTAGAAAAGAAGAACTTCTGTATTCGAACTTTTAAATTACCAAAACCAATACAAATTTGCACAACCATTTGACCTCCCACACGTGGAATAGTCAAGAGGGAAGCAGTTTTCACCTCATCTTCCTCCATACAGTTTCTGTAGATGACGTCTGGTAAAGTAGTTAAAGCATGTATGGTGTTTCAGCGCCGACCAAGCTACTGCAAAGTCTAGCTATCTAGTCGTAGAAAGCAAGAGGATACGAGAGCACTGACCCCTCCCATTCTACTGATAGCGGTTCTAGAGTGCCTTTCATAGCTAGCTCGAGAGACTCGATGCTATTAATAGCGAGGTTGGACATTCCTTGACCAACTCTGACTTGTTAGTGACTTCAAGGCTAGTATCATCGCCTTGATATTTGAGTGGATGACTTCTCTGAAGGAGGCTTTCGCAGTCATTCTTGTATAACTTCGAACGATGTCTACGGCCACTATGTGCAATACGGCGTTAAATGCCATGGTTAGTGTGGACCTAAGTGTACCACACATGCTGATGCGCCACCCGTTGCACACTTTTGAGTTTCTTTGCAAGTATAGTCTTTTCTAGAGCTCTCCGCCGCATAAAGACCCTAAAGAATATAATGTGCTTGACTATGGTGTCGTAGAGCTAGAGGACCACTTTCGGCAAGCAAGGCCATCTTTTGGCAATAGATCCAAAATAAGCTCTAGCTTAATCATTAAAGATATATATGTTTTTAAGGTGATTTGTAAAAATATTAATTATTTTCGGAAATATTGCTACGTTATTGACGCAACATCCAAATTGGCAGGAACAGTTAATACCGGGCGAGATTCTTCAAAATGTTTATTATGCTTTCTGAAATTCTATTCACTAAAACATGTGAGTATTCTCTATATATGCCTTCATTCTACTAGCTATGTCCTATAAGAAATAACTTGTTTCTTCTATTCTTAAAAAACTCACAAAGTCAAACTAGTAAAGAAGGCTAATTCGGGCACACACGAACATTTCATACTCTTGCAAGATTAAAGTCAGGGAAATACCTCAGGATCTACATGGGATCTAGGACAATTTTTCCGCCGATTTTATGCCTTCTAAGCGAAAAGATGCACCGTTCTTAGAAAACCACGCTCTCTTAATTTCAATAAGATTACCAACATATTATTCGGTGTATCAGTATAAAGTCACCTAGGTATATAGCGGTTAAAGGAAGTATGGGTTGAACCATTTTTGACCCACAGAGATACTATTTTCAGAAAGGACTTATATCTGCATTTTGATTATATACTATATCTCATACAATGCCGATATTTTCGTAAGAAGTCAACTATGGGTACTTTGGTCCGCATATTCGGTACCTGGGCTTGAAAAGTTTTGATTCGATTAGATACAAAGGTACTATTCGTGTAAAGTTTTATCTATTTATATTAGTTGCTTCTTGATATACCGGTAAGTAAAAAAATCAATAAGAATTTAGAATTGTGTTATATGGGTAGTATACATGGGTGTCCACTTAATTTGGTTGAAATCAGTCGAGCGGATAACAAGATATGTGATTTCATCTAAAAGTGGGCGGTGTAACGTTCCTTGTCCAATCTTGACCCTGATTCTCATAAGACGGGCTGCTATCCTTACTTTTTTCCAAGAAAATATGTATATACCAATGAGTGCAGGGCCGCAGACGGTCTCACGTAGGCTATCTTTAACCACTCCCATTTAACTTCAGTTTACTTTCCGCGAGACGGGAAAATCCTTATCTCCTTTCTTCTGCGCACTTAACGACTTGGCTTCCAGATGTTCTCCGGCAGCCTTCTTTGTCGAAGGCGGTTTCATCTGCCTCCTCGTCCGGAGGTAACTCTCCGAAGAAGGTACCTTCTCAGCCTGGCGTTGAGCAAACCCTGAAGTGGACGGTGGAAAATAATAGCTGAGCCCTACCACCTACAGACTCGTAAGTAGTCTAGTAAATAAGGTCTTCCTTATTATGTTCCGATCTGAATCCAGTTAATATTGATAATATAAAGCGCAATCTTACATTTTGGGAAAATTAATTTATCTTTTTATGTAATTAACAAAAAAAAATTAGGTACATAATAGACAGTTCTAAAGGAAATAAAAATAAAAAATAACGTCCAACAACTAATCCAAGCTTTCATGCAGTACATCACAGCGTCCACGATTTACCACGATTTCAAAACCAATGGAGAAGCGATTGTCTTCACAATGGGTGCAGCGTAGGTATGTACAACAGGAGCAGTGGCTACATAGCTAGTCTTGACAACCGGTGCAACAATATCCTCAACAAGATGAGCAGAGCTGTGTACAACCGATTGACTTTGATGGGAGACTGATGTGGGCACGCTCTGAACCACGGCGCCCACTTTGGTCAGAACGGGCTCATGCACGGCAACTGTGGCGACTGGTGCGGAGTACACAACTGGATGCGAAGCAAAGAAGCCTGGAGCAGCAGCAGCTACGGCGAGGAGAGCAGACAACACCACCTGAGAGAGAACAAAAATATTAATTGGTTTTGAAATATTTTTCGTAACTCCTACTTGCCAACTTACCAACTTGAACATTATGATTTTTTGTTTTAGGGAAGGTCTGTGTTGTGCTATGTGAGTTCACAAATTCAACTGATGTATATTTAGAATGCACTTTAGCTTTTTATACAAAATTTTACGCAGCACCGAATACTCGCCCGAATTACGAAAAGAAGTTAACAATTTTCGAAATAATCGTTATTACTGTGTTTTTTTTTTTTTGATTGTAATTGAATGCATTTTGGTTGTTTACATTTTGAATTGAAAGTGTACCGTATTGATTTACGACAGCAGCGTTGGAAAGAATAAAATGCGTTTATGTCTACCAGCGAGTTGCAGACAATAATAAAGTAATAAATTGGTGTGCGGAAAGGCCAAAGAGTAGCCGAAAATAACGAGCCAAACGGTAGCGGTCGCGTCAATGAGACAGCTAGACAGGCCATCATAAACGAATATTTCAATTAGTCTTGCGTTTTCGTTTTGACTTATTTTTCTTCACTTAACTGATATGGATATCTTTTTATGCTTTTTTGGTTTCGCTTGACCTCCAACACGCACTTAAACTGCAAGTAATGCAGTAGTTAAAGTACGTCGGGCTGAATGCAATGATAAGATCGCTTTGATGGAAGAAATAATACTCGTAATAACGAAAATAAGACCAAATTGCGAGGCTACCCGTAAACTAATCAAAACTGAATTCGGGGAAACTAAAAAAAAAAATTTAACAACTGTAACAAATTTAAAGAAATACTATGCACTTGGTTTAATACAGCTAACGGTATCAGTAAAGTTCAACATTTTTTAATGTAATCTGACTAAAAGTAATTACAAAATTAAATTTACGCTTTCGATGGTATAAGAAAATATTTACGAATAAATTCACTGGGGACTCGATGCTCTTAACAACGTAACGAAAATATCTGGATATATACTTAATGATGTATAAAGTACACATAATTATACAGGGTTTTCCAATAGGAGCAATATGATTTCAATTAAAAACAAACGCATTAATTGTTAAGAAAATTCAAATGTTTTTGTATTTAATGTGAAGATGACGCTCACTAAAATTAAGTTCTGAATACCACATTATTGAAATGGTCTCCACGACTTTTTTTGCACGAACGAATTCGATCGACACAATTTACGAGTACTTTTACCACTAACTCATATGAGTAGTATAATGGTGTCAAAATAAAACTTCTAATTCGGTTGTTGCACGTGGTATGGGGCACTTAGCCTGGATTTGTTGGAACCAGATGTTGTCAAGTTCAACTTCTTCCAAATTATGCCATAAAAAGTTGGTTATCATCGATCAATACCACTCTCTATTCACAGTAACGGCATCACCAGCTTCATTTCGAAAGAAGTACGGATCGATGTTTACACCAGACCGAAAACCACACCAAACTGTCAATTACGCTTAATGTAATGGCTGTTCTTGAATGATTTGTACATATCTTCACACCAGAATCGACAGTTTTGTTTACTTACCTCACCACTCAGCTGAAAGTGAGCGTCATTGAAGAAGATAATTTTTCCAAAGTAAAATCAGAGAAACACGATGTTTACGGTGGTTCAATGGCTTCAGTTCTTGATTGAGAACATTTTTATACGGAAGCAAGCCCAAAATCCGCCAGGTTGTATGTAGTTTGAAGAAGTCTCAATTCTTGAGAACGTCTTGGAATCGAAAAATTACGGTCTTAGCAACCCTTACCTGAATGCTGTATAGGAAAAACCGTTATTTGACATTTATTTTACTATTTTTAATACTTTCATCTATCGTATCAGTACTAACGATAATTTTGAAAATTTTTTGAGATATATGGATGAAGCATGAAGCATGACATTGGGTTTGAAAATGGTAAATATTAGACCATTGTCAGCTCGAAAAATTCTAACTCAGTCCATATGTAGGGTAGTAAATAAGAATGTTTTAAGATAATTTTTTTTGGCTGAAAATTGTTTGTCATAACTCCAAAATAGGTAAGTTGTAAATAATTATTGTAAACTATGGTTTTGAGTATTGGTTCAGGTCCTTTTTTCCAAAAATTGTCTCTTGCAGTGACCATGGTTTTCACAAATCAGTAAGAACGCCGAATAGCGACATTAGCTTCCAAAATAAACATTTTAATAGAGGCAAATCCTTTTGTTGTGAGCCTTTCCGCAGCCTTAGCGGTGGATTTTCTCATTTTATAATATATTACGTGATTATTGAGCAAAAATAAACATTGAAAATTGCTTTATTTATTTTTCAAAATACTCTATGAAACATCGCTTTTGTTTTTTTTCTTTCTTAAATTAAATTAATCGATGATCTGTTGCTGAGTTAATCCACGTCGGAGGTTGTAAAACGTAATCGCGCGAAAATATTCGCGGTTTAATTGAATTTTTTGGCCGAGATGAATATTTCAAGTTACTGTAAACACAAATTATGCTACGTTTTGAGTCTTTATATAAGGTATAAGTTATAAGTTGCCAGACTGTTAAACTATGGTTTCTAATTCTCAAAATATAAGAGGCAACCTACGTAATAGGACTGTGGTCGCAATTGATTTTGGTATTATTTTTGATTTCGCTGTTGACCATCTGCGAACTGAGCAATACGAACTTTAAATTTATTTTATAGACTTACCGATAAAAACAATGCTTTCGAGGAGCGTGCAAACTTTCGTTTAATTTATTGAAAAGAGTGAATCAAAGTGAATTGATAAAAACTGAAAATGGAGACATTCATATTAGCATTAATTTTATTTTATTTCTAATGCATGGGGAAATTTTCTGCTTTTGAAGTTTTTAGCCAGAAAACGTAGGAGCTTTTTAAGGTGCTCTTGGAGAAGGTTAGGTTAGGTTAGGCTATTCTGTTAAGCCAATAAGCCACGCAAAGGCCAGTTTGGGTCCTTTGTGATATCAGATGGAGTTTAGTTCAAGAGTAGTAGTCATAGTCAAATTTTAACAGACTCTGCGGCCTCACCATCGATATCACCTACAGTGTATCATAGCATGTATACCCCAGATGCTTACAGCGTAGTCTTGCCGATTCGGGACAAGTGCGCAAAATATGCTTCATTGCTTCTCTGGTGCCCTACTCTACACATTACCTGCAGTCAGCCCTATCTTGTGGACGTTTGTCGCCACCAGACATACTAACTGGTTACTGTCTCGTGGCTCTTGAAGAAACTATAGTTATTAATTTAATACTAATTTGTTTTGCACTCAAATAGTTTTTAACTCAAATGAATATTTACAAGTATTCAAGCCATGTATAATAATTACTGCTGCAACCTGTTGCATTTGAGCCGCGTTTTTGTGGATGGCTGCAATGTTTGTGTTGGCCCTATAGCCTCGAATGACTTTGCAAAATTCCAGACTCACAATGCTAGGTATATTTTCAACAATAGCTGCAGATTGGTGCTTTCGGCATTAGTAGTTTAAAAATAGTGTCCCGCAGTGAACTGCATCAGGTAGTGTAAGGTTCAAGGTAGCCGCGCATGCGCAATAATATTCATTTACAAGTTACAATGATATCAGCTGCGTCGGTCGGCTGAGTGATTGATGCAAGTTCATGAGTTCTGCAGCAAAGTTCATTAGAAGGGCTTTTTACCAGATTTTTGTTGTGGAGGAAAAAATACTGTAAACAAGCTAGTGGCTTTACAGTTTTTAAGCTTTCGTGAGGGGGTGTGTGTGTGCTAGAAAATATATGTATGTAAGTGAGGGTGTGTGCTTTGACACGCGCTTGAAAAGTTCGACAACACCTACAACAAAAAAATTTATATTTAAAGTATAGACAAATATGTAAAAATAGCAAAAAAAAGCAACATATCAAAGCATATCGATAAGTTCATTATTATCTCAGTTGCTCCATGCATACAAACATACCGAATCGATTTCAACTTGATCTGGTTTGAAGGCCGTAAGTAATGGCAAGCACAATTATATTTCAAGTGTGCTTTTCAATTGACGAATTCTTTTTCAATATCGAATATTAAAAAAAATTAAATTAATCCCCAAAATAAGTACAGTACTTTGATGAATATAGATACGTGTATGTAAATATATTTCTTAAAGCTCAAATTTCGTATAAAAAGGCAAGGCGTTGACATTTTTGGCAACAGTTCTTGCAACAACTTTCTCACAGTCAATACAGACCTACAAGAAACAAACCCAAAAATCAAAATGTTCAAGTTGGTGAGTTTTGCATAAGGAGCCATAAACTTAAAGCTGAAATAAAATTGAAAAAGAATTAACATAAAACGTTTATCCTTCTACTTTCGCAGGTGGTATTGTCTGCTCTCCTCGCCGTAGCTGCTGCTGCTCCCCATGTCGTCGAAACCCCTGTGGTCTACTCTGCGCCCGCCGCCTCCGTAGCCGTGCAGGAGCCAGTGCTCGCCAAGGTGGGATCTGTGGTGAAGAGCGTACCAACCGCTGTCTCCCACCAGAGCTCCACCGTTGTGCACAGCTCGGCGGTCGCTGTTGAGGATGTTGTGGCCCCTGCCGTAAAGACTACCTACTCCGCACCCGTTGTTGCCGCCGCTCCAGTTGTGAAGACTGTGGCTGCTGCTCCAGTTGTACACCAGACCTATGCCGCAGCCGCTCCAGTTGTGCACCAGACCTACGCCGCAGCTGCTCCAGTTGTGCATCAGACCTATGCCGCAGCTGCTCCAGTAGTGCACCAGACCTACGCTGCTGCTGCTCCAGTTGTACACCAGACCTACGCTGCTGCTGCACCAGTCGTCCACTCATCTCCTTTGGTGCACACCACCTATGGTGCTGATGTGGTTGCTGCTCCCGCTGCTGTTGCCGCTTCCTCACCACTCACCTACACCGCTCACGATTTGTGGTAAGCAATAACAAAATGAATAGACGACGGATAGATAACGTATTGAATTATGGACTAGAGTTGGATGGTTAAATTGAGAATTTTGTGATTGTTTAGTTAAGTAAATACAATTTTGAAAATCAAAGCAAACGGAGTATTATTGAAGTGTATATGTACATATGTAAACATATCTGAGCGGTAGTTTATATTTTCGAAATATGCCTCAAATATAATTTTGCGTCGGATACCGTACAAAGATAGTCTGAACCCCTTCAATTTCAAGGTTACTTGCTAACTGAAGTGAGGAGTTACTAAAAAAGTAGTTACCACAAACGATTACTTAATCATCTTAATAGAGCTATTTTGTCATTATCAACGATGAAAGTTGTCTGACAATCAACGCACATCCACTTTAATACACATATGAAATATTCGTATGCTGAGCGGCATATCAAATTGAAACATAATCGCCATCATTAAGATGCCACGGTCGCAAGTATGTTTACTTGTTGCTTAAAAACTCCCATCGTCTGAAAGACACAAGCATTTTTGCAGTGTGATTCGATTATTTCTTCAATATTTTGTCTTATTTTACAAAGATTTTCCACAAACAAAGTCATACCAGCGACCTTTTTCCTGAAATTTAATAACAAGAAAAGTCTATGGGAATGATGTTCGGAGAATTCGGTGGATCCGTAAGCAGTTCGATGTCTAATTCATATTGATTTCATTGATTATTATGACTAATATATACAGGATCCGGCACTCGAAGTGTAAACAAATTAAAATATACCTAAATTCGATTTGGAATATTATTTTCATTTATTTTAAAGTACAAAATGTGTGAAAATAATCATAAATTCAGGACCAATGCACTTTTCTCGATATGATCACCTTTTGCCTTAACTATGGCCTTGAGGCGGTCAAAAGACAAGCTGCCCGAAAGTGACTTGCCGGCATTTTGGCCTACTCACGGACAATGGCTTTCTTCAGCATCTCGAGACTGGTGTATTTTTTACTCTCTCTTGCTCTCCAAAATGGCTCAGAGAGAATAATCCATTGGACTTGGATCTGGTGAATTCAAGAGCCATTGTGTGGACGTAATGAAGTTCTTTTTCAGCCATAATTGGTTCACTTGCGCTTTGTGAGACGGTGCTGAGTCTTGTTGAAACATCCATGGTTTGCGACCGAAGTGTTTGTTTGCCCACGGCTTCAAAGCAGCCTCCAGAAGACTTTACCTATAATATGTCGCATTTACTTTGACGACCGGCTCGATGAAAACAATTGGAGCGCGCCCATCTGCGGTGACAGCGGCCCAAACCATTATTTGTGGCGGGTGCTGCCTCCTGGTGGCTGACAAATGACTTAAATTCTCGTATGAACGGTCGGTCAAGGAAACCCTACCGATTTGAGAGTTTACGATTTGCTCAATTGGAAACATTTTTTCGTCAGAAAACACAATGTTCGGAGTTTGACCGCTTTCGGCCAAGTGAAGCAACTGCTTCGCTCTCTCAAGTCTTGTTGCTGCTTCGGTGTGAGATCATGGGCCTTTTGGAACTTCTAAGGCTTGAGCTTGAGCTCATTTTTTAATGTGCGTCGGATGCTGCGATTGGATATTTTCAGTTCTTTAGCGATTTCATTGGCCCTTCGTCGTGGATTTCGCTCAAGTCGCTTTTTCACTTTCCGAACCATCTCACGTGACGTTGCAGTCAAATTTTTTTGGAGACTATCTAGGCCATCCAATTTAAGAGTTTTTTTTTACCAGTGAAAACAACATCCCAAATGCAATATTTTTCGGCCTGGCCAATTTGGGTTTGTCGGTCAATGACACTTTGGCACATTTTTTGTTATAAATACTATCTAATTCGCATATAAGTATTATATTTTTTATACTCATCCTACTCTAATCTCCAAATTACCTTTTTATTTTCGCTGGTTGTATATAGAATATGAGAACATCAGTGCCTATTAGTTGTCCCTAAGATAACTTTGTCAACATCAGAGTGCATTTTTTTTCTGATAATTGTGCTTCTACAATCCCTCGTTTATCTTTCATAATGTTTCCGAAACTTTCGTTTGACTTTATGCCGTATACCAAGGTTATACTGTGGATTGCAGATTTGGGTTTAAAATTTGTTAAATCTGTTCTAAAATAAATTCCAAAACATATCTTTTGAATACATCAACTGCCTCTTCAAGTGTCGCAAAACGTTGACCTCTTAGTTTTAGGAAATGAAAAGAAGTTACTCGTTGCCGATTCAGGACTATACGGTGGATCACATCGATGTGCTGAGTGCTCAAAAGCAGTTGTTTCAGTCGAGGTGTAAAATAGAGCTCGCATTGTTGTAGTGAAGAGTGATCGGTATTTAGCGGTTTGTTTTCATAAGTGTTTGAAAATCGACTGTAAAAGAAAAAGATTGTGTTTCAATCAGAATTTACTGTTATACGTTGATATGGTAAGACAGTTTAGTTGCGATAAAGGAGCTGCATCGCCAAAAATTAAATTAAGATTATAGGTGCTCTGTTGCTCAAGCAATCCATGCCGAAAATGGTAAAAAATAATCGCCCGGAAATGTTCGCGATTTAGTTTAATTTTTTAACCGAGATGAATATCTTTTACAGCACAATTTTTATATCATCAAATATGTCAAACTTCACAATAAAGTTGATAGTTGCCAGATTGCGACATTCTTCTTCTTCTATATTGGTGTAGACACCGCTTAAGCGATCATAACCGAGTTTACAACAGCACGCCAGTCGTTTTCTCAATCGGAGATTTGACATGTGGTGTTTCCAATGGAGTGGAAGTCTTCCTCTTCCCCCGGTGAGAACTGCGTCGAATACTCTCAGTGCCGGAATATTTAGATCTATTGGGACGACATGATTTAGGCAGCCTAGCCGCTGCCTCTTAACTCTCTGAACTATGTCAAAGTCATATTTATCTCGTACAGCTCATCGGTCCATTGACTGGGGTATTCGCTGTGGCCAACGCGTAAAGGACCATAAATCTTAAGCCGAATCTTTCTCTCGAAAACACGTAACGTTTCATGCCTCTGCATCATTCATCAGGTCGGGGATGATAAGTGACTTGCAGCTCCTGTTGTAAAGAGTTATTCTTCGGCTTTCGAGGCTGGTTTCAAGATAGACGAAACTTTCTACGACTTAGAAGTTAGTTAAGGACTATGTATATTAAGGTTTAAACGAAATAAATTAAATTTTAATATATTGCACTTTTGTTTATTCGTCTATAATTTCAACAATTTACTAATATGTAAATGCTTCGAAATAAATGTGTAAAGATGAGGAAATAAAAATTTTGAAGAAATCAAAATTGATAAATTTACTAATAAGCAGGCAGTCCAACTAAATCGTCCATATCTCAATTCGTTTACCACAAGCCATGTGCGAGGGGAGATGCAGCATGCAAATTAGTCAGAGGTGCCGATAAGTGAGCAATTGGAGCGTGTTGCAACAATGGAGCTGCAGAAACAGTTTGTACGGCTGCTGAGTGCAGCACTGGAGCAGCGGCAACAGACTGTACCAACGCTGGAGCGGCCACAACGCTAGTCCTCAAAGCAGGTGCTACAATATCCTCAACCACATGCGCAGAGCTGTGCACAATGGTCGAGCTCTGGTGGGAGACAGCAGTGGGGATGCTCTTCACCACCGAGCCCACTCTGGTGAGCACAGGCTCTTGCACGGCAATGGTGGCGGCAGGTGCCAACTGCAGCGCTGAGTGGGATTCGATGAGACTGGGGCGAGCAGCAGCTACGGCCAGGAGAGCAGACAATACCACCTATCAAAAATGAAAGGTAAACGTCAAGCTATTGCTTTGTTTTTTGTGTGTGTTTGTGTGTCAACTTACCAACTTGAACATTTTTTAAGTGTTTTGTTTGTTGTTTGAAGGTCTGTATTGACTGAGTGCGTTAATGAACTGATATCGTTCTTGAAATCGAATCTAGTATTTATACCGTTACGGGCCCACGTAACGCTAATGTAAATGCAATGCGCATGCGTTGACTACCAATAAACGGTGCATTGATTGCAACTCAGTCCAGAAGCTGCGCTGCCAACGGTGACGGCCTTGTCAGTTGTTCAATGAGCTGCGGAGCATGCGTGCTTGCAGTTATGCATATGCGTATACAGAATTCTAAGTATATAATGGCTTTTGTATGCGATATGAATGTATAAGTGCGTGTGCGCCAAAGCAATTAGAGGCGTGTTCTGAACCAGTTTAGGTGGTGTTAATGGGACAATTTTGCTAGCGGCTTATTATCATTGAGGAAATATGATTTCAAGCATTTCTATACTCACATGGCTATGTATATATAAATATGCGCTGCATTTACGTCAGCTGCAAGAATAGAGATAATTATGCAAACTGCGGTGTGACTTGTATTGAGCCATTTTTAGTTTCGCTTGGATAAACAGGTTCGACTTACTGCAAATTCCATAATTGATTCTTAGTTGTAGGATATTGCTTGGAAGAAATATGAAATATGATTTATGCGGCCATTTACCTCGCCGAGAGTATTACCGATTCTAAATCATAGCCTTATCTTTGTTTCATTGAGCCCTGAGTGGCTTGGACGCGTACATTTATTCTTAGAACTTAAGCGTTAGAGTTAATATTTGGTAAATTTTCTATCTTTAGTGCCAAATTTAGATTCAAATTAATGGGTTGTTGCCTCAGTAATTTAATTTTTTAGTTAATTTTAAACACCACTTTTTATTGTGTAAAACTTTTTTCGAAATTATATATTTTCCAATTTGATCCAATACCTTTTACTATCTTTCGGGCAGGAGATTTATTCCTCAATCATTAAATTTTTGAATCTGGCAGGCAAAAAAACCGATCCACCGAATGGTTTTTGACGTACTGAGGTCAAGGTTCACCCATTCAATACAATTATGCAGAGATTGCTCCGAAATCTTGAGAATCAAACCTGTATGAGGTCTTGCATTAATCTGGTGGAGCACTGGAGCACTACGCCTTCCATTGATCAATACTGGCCTCTTCTGTTTGAGTACATGACTCAATTTGTCCAGCTGATCGCAATGCACTTCAGAATAAATAATAAATTTTAAGCTCATAGATATGTCTGTATATTCCATATACCAGTTCCCGTATATCTTAAAAAAGATTATCGAACTTAAGGTTTATCGCATATATTGATCAATATGTGAACTATCACAGTAAAAATTAGATAAAACGCTTGTCTAATAAGTATATATTCCTGTGCCTTCCACAATTTTTCGTAACCTGATATAAAATGTTTCACACATCTGACTGGCATTATTACTTATGGGATGCCAAAAAAAAAAAATCGACTCAAATTAAAATATTCCTCCGGTTGCTTATATACAAGTACGTTCCTTTCAGCTAGTGTTTTACGTTTGTTTGAATAACGGTATCTTGTGAACATGGATATAGTCCGATTTTGCCAGCCGATATGCCATAAACCTTTTTCGATCTTCCATCTTCGATAAAACACCATGGAAAGCCATTTCAGCCACAACATATACCCAAGAGATAGATAAATTGACCGGCCGTTAAGAGACTTTCAGATGTTAAGTACGAGTAAAACAAGAAAAGACTTTAACTTCGGCTGCACCGAAGCTAATATACCCTTCACATTTGCATTTATTTTAGTAAACATGTGTCCAGTTTATATGACAGCTATATGCTGCAGTTAACCAATCTGAACAATTTCTTCGGAGATTATGTTATTACCTTAAGCAGTAATCAATGTCAAATTTCGTGACGGTAAAACGTCAAATGCGAAAGTTTTCCACACAAGCCCTTGATTCCGATCGTTTGGTTTATATGGCAGTTATATGCTATAGTGAGCCGATCTCAACTATTTCTTTGGATATTACATAGTTGCTTTAGAAAATAACCTGCGCTAAGGTTAGCGAAGATATATTGTCAAATGTGAAAGCTTTCCATACAAGAACTTGATTCCGATGGCAGCTATGTGTTATAGTGGTCCGATATCGGCATTTCCGACAAATGATCAGCTTCTTGAAGAGAAAATGACGTTTGCCAAATTTCAAAACGATATCTTAAAAACTGAGAGAGTAGTTCGTATATATACGGACAGACGGAGAGACAGACAGACGGACGTGGCAAAATTGACTTAGCTCAACATAATGATCATTGATATATATACTTTATAGGGTCTCCGACGCTTCCTTCTGGGTGTTACAAACTTCGTGACAAACTTAATATACCCTGTTCAGGTTATAGCTAACCGTTTAAAACTAAATCGTTTAAACTTATATACTCGCTAGTTTTAAGGAGATGATTGGTATAATATTTCTTGTAAAACTCATGAATGGGTCAGTCTGTAGCCCATCTCTCTTATCTGATAGTTTAGACCCTTACTTTTAAAATTTTCTAGAACAAAATTTGAGTTAAACGAACCATTCCGCCGTATATTACATGATTTCAATTCTCATTCCATTTGACTAACAGACTCACTCTTAACCATTAAAAAGTTATTTTATCTACTCTTGACAAGTAACATTTAAAAATAATAAACTTGAAGCTAATTCTTAATTTTGGCTGTTAATACTTTTGTAGCTGAGCAGCTTAAGATCGCAACGCTTAAAACTCTCTTGCCTTTTATGACTCGGCTAATTCCGCCTGTTCGTGGATTGCGTCCCTCGCGTCGGTTGGGCGGGAAGAAGGTAATCTTCTTCACTCATAACCGTTTTAATGAGTAGTAATTTAGTGTTATATACTTTTATTATTTATCCTCACATTACCCACAACTGAAGGATGGAGGCACATATCGCTGCCATACTTAATTATAATACAGAATGCAACTTTTTAAAGATCTAACAATACATCCAATTCAGAAAAAAGTAAAACTCTTCTTCACAGAGAAATCTACGATACCTTTTATTAATATAAAATAATGCATTTCTTTCGAACAAAAGAAGATTGTATAGAAATGCTTCATAGATACCCATAATCAACTGATATTTCAGACCAGAGAGTTACTTACTCTTTGTAGTTTAATAATAATAATAATACTAATCTAGTCTAATTATGGTAGTATAGCCTTTTCTATTACAATTGCATTTGACTTTACTTGTTGATTGTTCTATTCTCCACTCTCCACTATACGAACTATCTTGTTGTTGTTAAAATGAGAAGTGTTTAGTTTGTGTCCATTTACTGACCAAAAAATTTTTTGGTATTGCAATCGAAAGATGTATATTTAAATATATAACTTTTTAAATTAAATAATTTATTAACAATTCGCTGATCTAAAAGTCAACAACGTTATTATCTAATTATTCTATACAGTTAAGTTAATCGTTATATCACAAAATCAGTGTACAAAATCTTTTGTCCAGTTCGATTCTCCTTCATCGTCCGTTTACCAGGATGAGTAGTGAGCGTCATAGGCCAAGGGCGCAGCATAACTGTGCACAACTGGAGCAGCAGCATAGGATTTGATGATGGGAGCGGCAGCGGCATATGAGGTGTGCACCAGAGGAGCAGAGTGGATGGTCTTCAC